AGCTGAGGTAAAAAACAAGGGAATATAGGAGCTGAGGTAAAAAACAAGGGAATATAGGAGCTGAGGTAAAAAACAAGGGAATATAGGAGCTGAGGTAAAAAAAACAAGGGAATATAGGAGCTGAGGTAAAAAACGGGATTATAGGAGCTGAGGTAAAAAAACAAGGAAATATAGGAGCTGAGATAAAAAACAAGGGAATATAGGAGCTGAGGTAAAAAATAAGGGAATATAGGGCGGCGGCGAGTTGGCAGGGCCAGCCAGAGTTGGTATTGGCCAGTTCTCTGAACTACTCAAAACTTCTGCTACCAGTACGCCAGAACTGGTTCAAACTGGCTGAATACCACTTCTGTCAGGGGTGTCAAACTCAATTTCATTGAGGGCCCACATCAGGGCTGTGATTGACCTCGGGGGTGGGGGGGAACTGGATGGGCGTGGCTGACTGGGTGGGTGTGGCCAACTGTATAGGTGTGGACGGCTTGACGCCACTTCCCAAACTGCTGGCGCGTTTCCTCTTCACATTGGGTACCCCAGGACAGCTCCATGGGCTGGATCCAGGGGTGGGATGCTACCGGTTTGCACCGGTTCAGGCAAACTGGTTGTTAATTTTATGGCCACTTCGGTGAACTGGCAAATCCCACCCTTGACTGGCCCTGTCCACCCCACCCCTCCCGGGAGTCCCCATGTGGCCCATTTTGGATCGCAGGTCCTGTGTGGAGGCTCGAAGAGGGTGAAAAATGGGCCTCCTGGAAGTTCCAGAAGGCTGTTTCTGGCCTCCAGAGAGTCTCCAGAACATCAGGAGGGTGAAAATGGTTTTCTGGAGGTTCAGGGAAAGCCTCCGGAGCCCGGGGAGAGGCAAAAAATAGGCTTCCTGGACATTCCAGAAGCTCTTGTTTCTGGCCTCCCGAGAGGCTCTGGAACCTGGAGAAGGCAAAAACAGCCCCCCTGTGGCCCGTTTTTGCCCCCAGGGTGGTGCAGGAGGCCGACTAGGCCATGCCCACCATGCCCACACCCAGCCAGTAATCGGGCAGAGAACTGGTTGTTAATTAATTAAATTATTTCAAGCCCACCCCTGGCTGGATCCAACCACATCACAGGCCGGATTCGAACTGCGGGCCTTGAGTTTGATACCCCTGGCCGATACCATTTCTGACAAACGGCGGCCCAGTATCTTCTTGAAAGGGTCAAATGAGGACAAACCAAGAGATCCCGCCACTGCAGAAGGGACCTTAGATAGCCCTCCTCGGACCGTAAACAGACTGGCAAATGTCAGTCTGCATATTTTAGCTTCTTACATTGCATTGCCAGGAGTCAGGCAGTGGCCAAGGGCCAGAGAATTGGCTCTTTGAGGATTCCGGATAATGAGCTCTCCCGTAAGTCAGGAGATTTGCAGCTTCATTAGTAATTTTAGCAGGCAGATTCAAACAGAAACACAAGCTGAATAAAAGAGAACATCTTGCAAATGCTTTGTTACCCAACTAGGAAATATCTCTAGTGCTAGAAGAGAGTGGGGTTGATGGAGGTGAAGAAGGAGAAAGGGGGAAGGAGTGGAGGAGGAGGTGAAGGAGGAGAATCATTGATGATATCTGAGCTTGGTTGTTTTCTTGCAAACATTTCATGACCCAACTAGGTAACATTCTCAGTGTGAGGGAGGGTGGGATTTGCTCTCTGCTTATATACCAGTGATTTGCCTTGTGCAATCACCCTTCTTGATTAGGCTGTTCTTGTTTGTCTGAGTTGGTCGTTCCTTGACTGGAATATAAATAGACAGCAATCCCTGGTAGAATGACCAGTACTATTGATGATGTTACCTGGTTGGGTAATGAAATATCTGCAAGAAAACCACCAAGCTCAGAGAGTACCCAAGACCCACCCACAGTTCAACCCCGAATTACAAATATTCTATTAAAAACTGTAAACTTCTGGAATTGCCTTAATATCAAAATAAGTCCTGGAAATTCAGCGGCTTTCTGCAGTGCCACCACATAACTTTCCCCACTGTGGGAAAAAAATATATATACGGCATCAACTTTATCGCCGCAGACATTGTAATTTGTGCCTACTTCTTTCTCGTTCTTTAGGAAACCGTTTGAGAAAGCTCCTCTGCAGGGAATGTGTTGTGTGTTATGTTTTGCAAAGCAATGAGGATCTAGGATATTCACATATTCAGATGTCCAGAACATCTTTTGATGTTACTTTCCGAAATGAAAATTGTTTTGATTTATGTGTGTGTGTGTTTGTTTTTTTCCTTCCAGCTGAATTCCAAGCATTGTGCAGTAGTGGAATAGGAATCACAGCTGACGGACGAGGCAAGTTCTTGATACTTATTATGGGTTGTCAGGCAGATTCTGGCTGAATATTAGAAGGAAAATAGTAGTACCTTGTTTCTCCAAAAATACGACCTACCCTGAAAGTAAGTCCGGGCTTGATTTTTATACGTGTGTCCAATATAAGCCCGACCCTCCCAAAAATAAGCCCTAATTAAGATCCTACCCACTTGAGTGCAGGGGTAATCACACCCCTGGTCATAAGTGACTTTTTTCAGTGTAAATAAAATAATAACAATAATAAATATAATAATAATAAATAATAAAATATGCGGACTTCATCATTAAATTAATATAATTATGATTTCATTGTTATTTAAAAGAACAATATTATTTAAAAGAACCCGCTGTTCTCCATTTGTGTCTTTGCGCTAATTTTCTCCACTATCCCATTTGGGAAGAGACACAGAGACCCACCCTTTACTCCCTGTCGTAACTGTGAACAAGGTTCATAAGTCACTTTTTTCAGTGTGGTTGTACCTTTGAACGTTCACTGAATGAGCTGTTGTAAGTTGAGGACTACCTGTATTTAGTTATTTGACTTCTCTCCCTCAGTCTTTGGCCTTAACGTTTCTGTCCTGGCTGGGGAATTCTGGGAGTTGAAGTCCGGATGTCTTAAGTTTGCCACGGTTGAGAAATATTGAACAAAGGGGGTGGGGGGGAATATTGGGGAGAGGGACTGCCAGATGACCGAGATGGCAATTCTTCTGTGTAGATATCAACGAGTGCGCCTTGAACCCTGACATTTGCCCCAATGGGATGTGTGAAAACCTTCGAGGAAGCTACCGCTGTATTTGCAATCTGGGCTATGAATCGGACCCCACTGGGAAGAACTGCGTGGGTGAGTAAGAGGGGACAAGCCAAAACCATGCTGAGGGCCAACACACCAAGGCTGCCCATCCTTGTGATACAGTGAAACTATAATGCTCGGCGGTGGGTTGAAAACCATAGACTCTGGAAAGAGGGCAGAGAAGAGCAACCAAGATGATCAGAGGGCAGAAGCTAAAACATGCGAAGAACGGTTGCTGGGATTTGGGCATGTCTAGTTTAATGAAATGTAGATGTCAACTCGTACAGCATTCCCGGCTTGCTTTCGAGTTGCCATAAGAAGGAGCAGTTCAGTTGCTATGACCAGAAGCACATTCCATGCATAGCTTTCTCCAGATTGTTTCCCAGGTTACCAGAGCCAGATGGAGAGAGGTGTTTTCTACAGTCCAGGGAGCTGTTGGAGAATGTGATTTATGACACACCCTGGGAGGAGGGGGAGGAAGCAAGGTCATAGGTGGGCAGTAAATTACGTAGGGCAGAGCCGACTGCCCTTGGGAAAAGTAGTGTCGACATGTTGCTCTTAATAAATAATTGGATTTCTTTTGAAACTTGGCTCAAGGCTCATTACAGGGCATCCATCAGAACCCTGACAGTAGAGATGACAGGATAGCAGTCAGGGGCTGCCCCAAAGAAGAGGGAGTCAAGCCCTCTCCAAAGCAGCTGAAGGCAGGATAAGAAGCAAAGGATGGGAACTAACCAAGGAGAGAAGCAACCTGGAATGGAGGAGAAATCTTCTGGTAGTGAAAACAATCAGTGGAACTCCTAGCTTCCAGAAGTTGTGGTGCTCCAACACTGGAGGTTTTTAAGAAGAGGCTGGACAATCATTTGTCTGAAATGGTATAGAGTTTTCTACTTGAGCACAGAGTTGGACTAGAAGGTCCCTTCCAACTCTCTTATTCTGTTCTGTTATTCTGTGATGGGTGAGCCAAGGAAAAAGGGGGTGATTGATGTTTTCTAGCTGTGGAAGGATCATCCATGGTTGATTAACTATTACTTCTCACCAAAGAGGGATGAAATTTAGCTCCGTTCTTGTGGGGGAGTGACATTGAGAACTGTCATGCCCCTGGAGGAGACTGACTCTGAGGGAGGGGAGGAACAGCCGACAGGGAGTGGAAGTGTGGCTCCGGATGTTGTGGAGGAGGCTGGGGAAGGGCAGAGGCCAGCTGAGCCGTCAGAGGAGGACCCAGGCCCATCCCCTCTCCATCCTAGGGCACGCAGGGAGGAGAGGATAAGGGAGAGACATGGTCTACTCAGGAGGACAGGTCCTTGATCCTCTTCATGGCCTGCAGCTGTGACAACTCAATAAGAGGACGATATGCGTATGGGTGAATGCTGGAAACAAAGCATGGAAATATCTCTAGTTTATGGTTCCTCTCTGAATTTGGTGTCCTTCCCAGTGTGTGTTCTGTTATCTGTGGACATCCTCCAGCCCTTATCTCGCCTGGTTTGTGTTGCTTTTTTCCTTCTTCTTGTAACTGTTTGTGTGGGAGTTTTTTTGTCTTCCCCCAAGGATATTCAGAGCTTGGAAGCAAAGTGAAGGAATAAAAGGGGCTTCACCGGTTTTCTGTGACTGTGTGTGTTTGGTATCTCCACCCTGGGTCATCACAAGAACCATAGTTTCTCAGGCCAGAGATGTCCATTTTGTTAACACCTGAGAATCATTCAGATAAGCCAGAACACCCAGATAAGCAGGGATTAATACCAGACAGTCGAGCAGAAAACTTGATTCTAATCAAGAAACTACCAAGGAGGGAAATAATCAAGCAACTAAGGAGAAAACAATATTCTAATCAGGAAACTACCAAGGAGAAAGCAACACTCCACCAACACTGCCAATGCAAGCTGTTGTATATAAACAGGGAACAAACTCCACACTCCCTAGCATGGATGCTGTAACCTAGTTGGGTAATGAAATGTCTGCAAATGAACAACCGAGTTCAGAGAACATCAAGGGCTGCACAAGAGTTATTCAACTTTTTCTAAAACTTGATCTTGAAGGTGAATAACTTCTGATAGTGGACAGAATGGACACCTCTGTCCTAGGAAACTGTGATTCTCTATCTAATTCTCAACAGGAAGGTTAGGAAGGCCAAGAAGAGAGGAAAGTCAGGATTAAATCACATTGTGTGTGTTTAGTCTACCTATCCTGTTAGGCTCCCTTAATATTTTTTTAAGTGGCTAGTCCTTTTGGTTCAAAAGAGGAAGGAGGAAATAGGTTGCTCTCCCATCCGCCTGCCAATCCCGTTGGTCAGGTTCTGTGCCTTTATTTCTCTCTCCAGATGTTGATGAATGTGCCATCAATCGCCTGTTGTGTGACAACGGTTTGTGTCGCAACACGCCTGGGAGCTACAGCTGCAGCTGCCCCAAAGGATTTGTCTTCCAGACTGAGACAGACACGTGCGAAGGTAAACTTCTCTGCCTGTTTTCTGCTGAATCCCGGTAGATCCCAAACAGCTTATGGCCATGAGGCAGGAAATTGGGACAGAGCCTTGCAAACTCTCCAGCTTTTAATTTCTTCTTGACAGACTTGAACACTGTGCCCTGTGTAACAAACTAATAGAATAGGAATAGGAATAGGAATAGGAATAGGAATGGAATGGAATGGAATAGAATAGAATAGAATAGAATAGAATAGAATAGAATAGAATAGAATAGAATAGAATAGAATAGAATAGAATAGAAATAGAATTCTTTATTGGCCAAATGTGATTGGACACACGAGGAATTTGTCTTGGTGCAAATGCTCTTAGGGTACATCAAAGAAAAGATACATTTGTCAAGAATCATCAGGTACAACTCTTAATGATAGTCATAAAAGAGCAACCAAATCATACTAGGAAACAGTCCGTAAAAATCATAAGGATATAAGCGACAAAGTCCCAGTTATGCAATCACAAGTGGGAGGAGATGGGTGAAAGGAAGGATGGGAGGATTGAAATGAAATTCAGTGATGAAAAAAGTAAGGTTCTAACATTTAGGCAAGAAAAACCAAATCCACGGATATAATATAGGTAGTACTTGGCTCAATAGTAGTAACTGTGAGAGGGATCTCAGAGTCCTAGTGGACAACCATTTAAATAGGAGCCAGCCATGTGCAGCAGCTGCAAAAAAAAGCTGACATAGTTCTAGGCTGCATAAACAGAGGGATAGAGTGCATATTTGGTGCACGCGCAAAGTGTATGCGCACGCACAAAGCATGCCTGCCAAGCCACACCCACTGAATCAGTGGTAAACTATTTTGAAACCCACCACTGACACAAATGTATGCCAGACCTTGCTACATGGAGCACAATCACCCCGTCCCCTTCTCTGCCTGTAGGTTGCACCGTTTTCTTTCTCTCTCCTAGATATCAACGAATGCACATCTAACCCCTGTGTCAATGGACTCTGCCGGAACAACGCTGGGTCCTTTGCGTGTGAGTGTGCACCCGGAAGCAAATTGGATCCCAGTGGCACCATCTGTGTTGGTAAGGAGCTGCCCTGACCAGTGACGGTCATAGGGCTGGACCTTAGAGCCAGGGTGTGGGGTCCTGGATTTGGGGGGATGCAAAGGGGGGGGTGCCAGAAAACGGTCACCCCGTTTTATGCAATATGTGAATGACCTTGAGGAAAAAGGGGAAGAGAAGCTGGGTAGGCAACCATCAGAGAAGAGAGGCAGGAGCCCTCAGTGACTCGACGGTCAGGCGAAGAAAATTAGGAAGGACCCACTCTAATGGATCAGGCTGTTTAAAATGGCGGTGGGAAGTTTGTACCTTCAGACTTGTAAGATTCTGTTATTGTAACTGTCATTTAATTTAATAGCTGGAACAGTAGTGTACAATGGACCAGAACACACAGTTGTAGTTGATTGGCCGAAGAGTGAGGGCTTCTGCATGAGGCAATCTACGCTGTCATAGATTGCTGTGGGTGTAAAGAGAGAGAGAGAGTGTCCCTGTTTTCCCGCCTTTTTTCTTCTGTGTGCTCTGTAAGCTTTTTTGTTTACCTCACGAGGTTCCTGTGTTCCTGACCATCTAGTTCGCTCCTGTATGAGGCAATTTATGCTCTGGTTGGTTGCTGTGAGTGTAAAGGGGGAGTTTCCCTTTTCCCCCGTCTTTTTTCTTCTGTGTGCTCTGTATATCATTTAGATTTACCTCACGATGTTCCCGTGTTCCTGACTATCTTGTCTGCTCATGTATGAGGCAATCTGCGTTGTGATTGATTGCTGTGGTGAAAAGGGGGAGTTTCCCTTTTTTCCCACCTTTTCCTTTTGTGTGTTCTGTATACAGTTTAGATTTACCTCATGATGTTCCTGACTATCTTGTCTGCTCATGTATGAGGCAATCTGCTCTATGATTGGTTGCTGTGGGTGTAAAGGGGGAGTTTCTCCCTTTTCCCATCTTTTTCTTCATTGTGCTCTGTATCCTTTTCAATTTACCTCACGATTTACCTCATGACAATCTAGCGATGTGCCTGACTGTCTTATTTACTGTAAATATAGATGTTAAATATAATTCTTTTTTTATAAAATGACAAGTCCATGTCAGCATCTCTGGCTTCATTTGGGATACCTGCTGCGCAATTCCCTGACAGCTGCCTTCCAGTAAAATAGAAGTGGCTCATCTAGTTGTGGAAGACAATGGGTTGGCTGGACTGTTTCTCACCAGCAAGTGAGAACTGATATGTCCTTTTCTAACTCTTGAGCATGTATGATGATGCCTCTTTGCCTCCTCCAACCTGTCATCATTATCATCATTTAACGACCCCATAATCCCTTGTGGGATGGAGCTAGCAGAGTGTTTTAATGTCCAGATGCCCTTCCTGTCACCAATGTGGAGTTTTGTTCATCAGATATATTCTCAGTATGCCCAGAGAGAGAAATATCTGCCTCTACCTAGGATCAAACTCACAGCCTCCTAATTATGAGGCAAGAGCTCCACCTCTAGGCTACTGCACCACTCCTGCTTCCTCCAACCTGTCTCTCTCTGCTTTTTCCTGTGCTCCCAGACAGCATGAAGGGTACCTGTTGGCTCAACATCCAAGAAGGACGCTGTGAAGTCAACATCAATGGGGCTACCTTGAAGTCCGAATGTTGTGCCACGCTAGGGGCTGCCTGGGGCAGCCCCTGTGAACGCTGTGAGATCGGTAAAGTGGGAATCTGATCCACAGAGGTCCTTTCCTTTGGGTCTCCCAACAAGCCCCCATGCCAAAAAGTTCACCCCCTTTTCTCTCTTTGGCTCCAGATGCCGCCTGTCCACGAGGTTACGCCAGGAAGAAGGGTCTCTCTTGTGAAGGTAGCTTCCATCTCTGGTTGGTGAGCCCTGCCTTGTTTCTTGAGGGGCTGGCTGTGGAGCACCTCAATCTCCGAGAAAGAGGAATTGGTTGTCTCTGAGAGATTCGGGAGGAAGGCTGTGGAGATGCTCGGAGACAACCTGCCGTGGAACCGGGCAGAAAGTTCCTTCCCCACCGGGGAACGGTCAAAGAACGTCACCACCAGGTTCTTCTCAAGTTGGACCACTCAAGCGTTGACAGGACCTCAACTCAGCTCTGCTCAGAGGGGAGATTTCCCAGCAGTTTGGGAAATGGTGTTCTTTGAGAAGAACAATAGGGAGGTCTTCTAGGGTTGTCCCAGCCACGAGCCCTAGCAGGACCTTCGGCTCTACAACCGGTCTTTCTCTCTGCCCCACCAGATGTGAACGAGTGTGATGTCTTCCCGGGCGTCTGCCCCAATGGCCACTGTGTGAACACGGCAGGGTCCTTCCGATGTGAATGTCCAGAAGGCTTGACCTTGGATGGTTCTGGCCGGACCTGCGTGGGTGAGGACTGGGCGAGATATCTTATCTGGCCACCTTCTTCTTTTGGGGAACGCTGAAATCTTGATCTGTGGGAACTCCAGTCTTAAGCTGGAGAGGAGCGCTGCAAATATTGTCAAACCCTGGAACACCCGTGTCATGCCTTCGGTATCTCACCTTGCCTTGGGGCAGGCTGAGAGATCAGGGAAGTCTCCCTGTTCATTTAATCCCTGCGACGACCCTGTGAGGGAAGTCAGATGAGACGTGTCTGCTTAGCCAACCCCAGCCCCTCAGTTCTGTGCCACGGCAACCATTGGGGGTGCTGCAACAGGTATACAGAAAGGAAAGAGGGTAGGGGAGGGAGGGGAAGGAGAGGAGGAAGGGGAAGGAGTGGGGAGGGGAGAGGAGGAAGAGGAAGGAGAGGAGAAAGGGGAAAGGGGAGAGGAGGAAGGGGGAG